TGAATGTGCAGAAGAAACTTTTCATTGGCTGTTTTCATTATTTTACCATTTGATACACAACTGTGTACCTCATTTCCAGAACACTAAGTAATTGTACATGTCTAGAGTGCAGAGTCAAAGATGAGAGATAATTTTATCACTGATACAAAACTGTGTACCTCATTTCCAGAACACTAAGTAATTGTACATGTCTAGAGTGCAGAGTCAAAGATGAGAGAGAATTTTATTGCTGCTAGTAGCTCAAAACAAGTACTTTGGCCTGATAGGTGGTATTAAGAAGGTATTTTTCAACTTTAATTTCAGAACAGTATAGTAACTGTTTCCATGGTTTTCTGGAATATAATCACTACATAAATTTAGGATCTGACTGGGTCAGATTGATGAGTAAGGCTTTTGTAATAAGGGCAATTTATCTGCAGAAAAGGACACAAATGTGTACTGCTGTTGCTTTTACCCTGAGTGTATTGTCATAAATATAGTGTAGACTGTACCTGCCACATAACTAGACAATTTCTCATAATCATTTTTATTTATTTTCCAGCTTGCGTTCATTCTATTGTCTATTTTTTATTGACCTGAGAGTTTATTCATTGGAATTAAATAGGCAATGTCAGAAAGATTTTATGACACATATTTTAAGAACATACAAACTGATTCTACAAAACATTCATCTAGTTTTTAATTCTTTTTTAAAAAGACCTAGTGTTTAACAACATACTTATTTTCCCTTCAGTTTCCCTGGTAGCACAGATGGAAGAAGAATCGTATGTCAACAACGGGGTCATTAAACCAGTTAATCATATCGTCTTAAAATGTTTAAATTCATAGTATTGAAAGCAAATGCCAATTATTGCTAAAATAGAATATACATGTTACATTATGTCCAAGATTTTCTCCCTCCCCAAGTCCTTAAGAAAACTTGTTCTTAGAAACACTAAGATTTTTGGCATATGGGGATTTTAAATAAAATTTCTTTTAAATACCATTTCCATTTCTTTTTTTAATCAAATAGTTTTAAATTATAGATTGGAACACAAGATTCTACTCAATATTTACTGAAGTCTTTATTGAATTTGTTACAACATCACTTCTGTGTTGTTCTTGGCTTTCTGGCTGTGGCTCTCTGAACAGAGACTGAGCCGACACCCCCAGCACTGGGAGGCTAAGTCTGAAGAGGGACTGAGCCCATACCTGCAGCACTGGGAGGCTAAGTCTGAAGAGGGACTGAGCCCACACCTGCAGCACTGGGAGGCTAAGTCTGAAGAGGGACTGAGCCCACACCTGCAGCACTGGGAGGCTAAGTCTGAAGGGGGACTGAGCCCACACCTGCAGCACTGGGAGGCTAAGTCTGAAGAGGGACTGAGCCCACACCTGCAGCACTGGGAGGCTAAGTCTGAAGAGGGATGAGCCCACACCTGCAGCACTGGGAGGCTAAGTCTGAAGAGGGATGAGCCCACACCCCAGCACTGGAAGGCTAAGTCTGAAAAGGGATGAGCCCATCCCCCGCCTCCCCCCCCTCCCACCCCGCACTGGGAGGCTAAGTCTTCACAACTGCATTTCCAGGGAAGTCCCTCTACTCTTTTCCTATGTCTTGAAATTTTAATGTACTTGAGTTTCACCAACTCTAAACAAGCAAAGAAGTAGCACAAGACCAGGCAGGGGTGGAGGGTGGGGAGTAACAAGTCACAATGGGTGGGAAGAGGGGAAGGGAAGGAGGGAAGAGCAAGCATCCTGCAGTCTTCAATGGCTGCAAAGCTGAGACCCCTGTACACAGGCTCCGCCAGGGCATCCAACTGGTATGACAACTAGGGCCTACTAATCACTCAGTTACACAGCAGGGATGGGGACATTTTAGAACTTAATGACTTGACCATAACGTTTCTGAGAAATGTATTTTGCAAAGTTCTGTACTGCACCTCCTATTCTAGGTCTACCCTAGAGCCTCAACTCAGTTCTTTCAGTCTTTATTTCTAACATGAGGACAAGTCATCCAATTACCAAGGACTTCACTATCTTTTCCATTAAAGAAAGGAAAAGGATAAAGACAGTTACTCATCTAATAAAATAAATGTATCAGCTTAGGCTATAATTTTAATTTCATTTTATCATTATTTATAACTGTAGACATGCAAAAGGCTTCCCTGGTGGCTCAGATGGTAAAGAAGCTGCCTGCAATGCAGGAGATCAGGGTTCAATCCCTGGGTCAGGAAAATCCCATGGAGAAGGAAATGGCAAGCCACTCCAGTATTCTTGTCTGGAAAATCCCATCCACAGAGGAGCCTGGTGAGCTACTGCCCATGTGTTGCAGAGTGAGACAAGGCTGAGCAACCAATACACACAGACATGCAAAAGCATTATCTGTATGCAATCATGTGAATGACAATCTACTTCATTGTAGAAAAAGGCTTATATAAAGAATAGCCTATTTCAGATGACAAATGGTGTGTGAAGAATATTCTAAGTGTTTATATTGGCAAATAATTTAAGGATCTAGGATCATATGATTTTAAAATCAGGACTCTAAGATTTAAAGATGATGAAAATTGTAATATTTCTTTTTTCCAAACTTGGGTTCCTCCTCTTAAACTCCAAACATGTGTACAGCTATATATATATATATATATATATATAACTGATAACCGAGTGAGATGTTATGGAACAATTCAAGCAGCCAGTTTTATTTCTCTCTTCTTCCCTAACTCCCTCCACAGCCTCACTACCACCCTAAACAGAACTCCCTTCAGTCCCAGAGGGAAGGGCCTACAAGTTGCAAGACATGTACCCTGAAATCCATGCAGATTAAGAATAAATCCTGAAATTCATCACCTGGGGTTAAAAGTGGTTTCCTAGATCTTATCTCAGATCTACTGAACTTGAATCTTGGGATAAAACCCAAGAATGTGCACTTTTAATAAGTCATTCAAAGCTTGGGTCATTTCTGAAGTTTCAAAGGCCTTGAAAGTAAGTGTAGGGAGGAAGGCAAGCTGGACCTAAGTGCTAAAGGCAGCAGCTTAATTGAAAGCAGAAATCAAGTGGTATCACTCAGCTCTAAGTTTCTGCAGCTATTAAATAGATACTGCCAATATCTACAGTCTACTTTTGAATAGAGATCTAAAGATTTTTTACATGCCTTGATGATTATAACAGCTCACTAACTTGTAACTGGATGGCAATATCTCACTCTTTCCATTTGGGGTTTCCTTAGTGCTTTCAGGTATAGCCTCACGTAACTCTTAAAATATTTCATCAACCAAAAGAAGACTGGGTCTTACTATGCTGTGCTGTAAGACCGTGCTGTGATCTATGATGGCAACTCCTAAACAGAAGCTACAATAACATTTCAGAAAAGAAACATGAAATACAACACATGTTTAAGCCAGTGTTATCGCCAAAGCAAGAAGCTCTCATCTCATGACCCAAGAACCCTGAAGAGTCTCCTCAGCCCTTGGGGGTGGTGGGGCAAGGGGAGGGAGGGGGTAGAAAATGGGGACCTGCAACTAGAATCCACATGCTTGTGATAAATAACCAGATTACCCCAACCAGCAAGCAAGTATTATTTTCTAAGACTGCCAAGGAATGAAAGATTGGAAAACATCAATTTAATATCAAGTGCAGGTCTGAAGATCAGTATTCAGTTTATTTCCTTGCTGTCTCACTGGCAACCTTAGTGACTTCTTTGGAGTCCTTAGGCTGCTCCAAGGTTATTAAATTAGGACTACTCTAGGCTACTTCTAGGAGAAGGCAATGGCACCCCACTCCAGTACTCTTGCCTGGAAAATCCCATGGACTGAGGAGCCTGGTAGGCTGCGGTCCATGGGGTCGCTAAGAGCTGGACACGACTGAGTGACTTCACTTTCACTTTTCACTTTCCACTTTCACGTAATGGAGAAGGGAATGGCAACCCACTCCAGTGTTCTTGCCTGGAGAATCGAAGGGATGGGGGAGCCTGGTGGGCTGCCATCTATGGGGTCGCACACAGTCGGACACGACTGAAGTGACTTAGCAGCAGCAGCAGCAGACTACTTCTAAAGCCTCTTCTATCTCTAAAATTCTAAGATTTCCTTACACTTATGTTTCATGAGTACATAATCATGTAAAATACCATTCACTGCTTATTTAATTAAAAGTCTACATTGCGTCTGTCATTTAATAAATTTTTTTTTATTAAGCATTTAATCTGTGCAAGGCATCCAAGAATCTGGGAAATCGATATGGACACACAAGTCTGCTTGCTGTTGGTAAATGCACATTACTGTGAATGAATAATGCATTCTACTGTTAATACTCTGTGTCTCTTTAAGCAGTTAAACAGTAAAGTTTACTGGATCATGGCTGAATAATGGAAATCTGCACAGATAATGGAAAGCCTATCAATGCAAAATAAATAAATATTAATTTTAATTATACACATGACTTCTGCCAAGACATAATGCTCTTCTCTGTACCTTTCACTTGCTTTAAAAGAAAAACAGAAAGATTATCAGCATTTCTGTTTCAATGATCTGTTGTAGTATAACAAAACACCATAAAATGTAGCACTCAAAAAAAAAAAAAAAAGAAAAACAAAGTACATTTTATTTGTAAACTGCATTTACAACCAAAATCAATTTTTAAAATATATTTATAAAAATAGTTTATTTTAAAGGCTCTCAATAGGACTTAACATTTTATTTTCAGATATAGCAAGAAGATAATCAGTATGGTCAATATATTTTAATCCATGATGAAAGGTGCCCCAGATTATTAGATTGAGGCATACTATTTAATTAGGCAAGGTTCAAAGCATTAATTAAATATTACATAATTGGATTCCCCTCCACAAGTTTAACATTAAATTTTCATAAAGGTTACAATACATATCAACCTACAACTGAAGGAACTATTTTTTAATGTCCTATGCTTTAAAAATCTAGCTCCATAATCTCTTTTTAAAAAATGCTTCCATATATATGCATGTGTGTATCTAAAAGTCCACATTTCTCAGGAATGCATACATCCACCTAATAGTAAGGTCCAAAATGAGCAGCAGAATTACCATCTCCAGAAGAGGAGGGCGGAGGCAGGGGTGGGGGGGGCGGAGGTGGGGCTAGGGAGTAGGGCAAGGGGATTAATGGGTGAGGGGCCACAGCAGGCGCGGCCCAGCCCAAGTTTGTGGAGGCAGGCGGTGGGGGTGGGGGGGGTGGGGGGGGAGGGAGGGAGAAGTTGTGCATGTCAAACCCTGGAGGAGGGAAGGGATACTGTGGCATCATGGGGCTATCCTGTCTCTGTGGCGCAAATCCTGAAGTGTCCTGAGGGACCATGTGTTCTGCGTTATAAAACTGTGGAGGTGGGGGCCGGCCAGGGCAAGATCGAGGATATCTACCCTGGGAAAATCCTCTTGTGAATTCTCTGTTGTGATATCCTTTGGAATGCTCTGAAGCAGAGCTATGAACATTCCAATTGTGATGTACTTCTGCAAAATCTTCACCTTTGAAGGAAAGAGCATAAAGACAAAATCAAAATTAACTTTCATACATCAAAAAACAGTGTTTAAAATTTCAAGAATGCCTTATTTAACTTCCAGTATTTCTTACTGGAAGTCATAATTTTGTATACATACAAATGATATAGTTATAATGATATATTGTATCATTGTAACAATGATATATTGTATCATTGTAACAAATGATACCTAGTTATAATTTTGTAAGGCTTAAAATGATCAACTTTAAATGAATCCTAAAGGTCAGACGATCAGGAGAGGGGAAGTTTATTAAGACAAAACTTTGAGACAATAACCACTTGATTTCAGCCAAACAAGACAAAGAAAACTGGACATCACTTCCACTCACATGCTCAAAGGTGGTCAAATAGGCTGAGCAGGGAGCCAGTTAGCATGTTCCCTCATTGCAATGCAGATCACATAGGGAACATAGACTTTTGTCTCCATTGGCAATAACCCCCTAAAAGCCCTCCTCCACTTCCTGCACTTGGGGTAGAGTCAGAGAAAACCGAGGAGAGTCAGGACTTTCATCACTGCCCAGCATAACAAGGCTAGCTAGCCCCAGTAGTCAGGAGCAGTAATGAGGCACTCTTACATTCAGCAGACACAGGAGGCAGCCTGCCTGTGCCCGGCAGTAATCAGACACCCCCAGCCTCAGATGTCAACTGAAGCTAAAAAGAAAAATTTAACTCTTATCCTCAACTGGATGTAAATAGTAATAATGCAACTTCTTTCCTTTTCTCAAAAGAACAAAATAATGTATCATGTTGGTGCAAAAGTGACTGTGGTTTTGCACTGTTGAACTTTTGCCATTTCACATTGGAATGTATTCTTAAATAAATGTCGTTATGTTATACATCATTTTAATGCATATTTCTCACTTTATGTTTTTTTCCTAATGACTTATTATTTGCTGTTTATTTTATATTTATTTTAGACTGGAGAAATGATGTTAGACAAAAAGCAAATACAAGCAATTTTATTATTCGAGATCAAAATGGATCATAAAGCAGTGGAGACAACTTGCAACATCAGCAATGCACTTGGCCCAGCAACTACTAATAAGACAGTGCAGTGGTGGTTCAAGGAGTTTTGCAAAGGAGCCTTGAAGATGAGGAGTGCAGTGGCTGGCTACTGGAAGCCGACAATGATCGAGGACATCAAACTGATTCTCTTAACAACTGTATAAGTTGCCAAAGAACTCAGTATCAACCATTCTATGGTCATTTGCCATTTGAAGCAAATTGGAAAGATGAAAAAGCTCAGGAAGGCAGAAGACAACAGAGAAATAAAAACTAGAAAGAATACAGAAAAGGGCAGATTTAAGCCCAAACATATCAATAATTACATTAAATATAAATGGTCTAAATATATCAATCAAAAGAGTAGTTAGCAGAGTGGATTAAAAAACATAACTATAGCCTGTAAAAAGCTTATTTCAAATGATAGTCATGTTGAATGTAAGAGAATGAAACAAGCTACAATATGCAACATAACTCATTAATTATATTATCAGATAAAATAGGCTTCAGAATAGGGACATTTTATGATAAAGGGGTGACCTACCAAGAAGATTTAGCCATCTTAAATGTGTATGCACCAACTACATGCTCTCTCTCAACAACTGACAAGATAACTAGATGGAAAATCATTAAGGATAGAGAAAATACTAAATAGTACTCTTCTAAATAATCCATTGATCAAAGAGACTGTGTCAAGAGGAATAAAAACAAAGAAATATTAAGCTAAATCACAATAAATAAAATATATGAGTATCTGTGGAACAGATTCAAGGAGTAAAGTCTTTAATAACATAAACTCCCACCTAAGAACCTATAAAAACCAAAACAAAATAAAGCAAGCAGTAGAAAGTTAATGACAGAGTTAAAAGAATGCAAATGCTAATAGAAAAATAATACATAAAAATCAATAACAAAGAATTGGCTCTGTGAAAGATCAATATAATTTGCAATCTTCTAAGCAAAACTGAAAAAATACAAGACACAAATGATCAATATCAAAGACATCAAAATGAAGAAAATCTTGCAAACCAACTCTACATACATAATTTGACAAATTAGATGAAATGGACCAACTCCTTGAAAAATACAAGCTACTATAACCTATCCAACATGAAAAATAAGTAAACTATTAAGTAAACTGAATTTGTAATTAAGTCTCCCCAAAAAGCTATCTCCAGTCTGAAGAGGTTCACTGGAAATCTTTTTACCAAATATAAAAAAATTAACAGCAAGTCTACATAATGTTTTCAAGTATACAAAAAAAAAAAATCTCAATTCATTTTTATGAAGCTACTCTGCTGATGCTGACAACAAAACCAGTTAAAAATAAGTCTGAAAGAAAACTAGACCAATACCTCTCATGAATATAAACATAAAAATCCTTATCAAAATCTGAGCAAAATTCAGCAATATTTACAAAGAATTACATACCATGACTAACTGATTTATTCCAGTGATGCTCATTCAATATTCTAAAACCAATTAATCTACTTTCTTAACAAGTTAATGAAGGAGTCATGTGATATTATCAATCAATGCAGAAAAACAACTGTCAAAATTATTATTCATGATTTTTGAAAAGATGTTCAGGAAGACTAAACAGAAACTTCCTCAACTTGATGAAGAACACCTACGGTAACCCTGTACCTAATATTATACTTCATGGTAAGATACTGAGTGCTTCCTTCTATGATCAGGAATGAAACATATTTACTGAATATAGTGCCAGACGTTACAGCCAGTACAGATATGAAAGAGAGCTAAAAAAGCATACATACTGGGAGGGGAAAGACAAACACTATTTCCACTTGCCACTGACATAGCTGTCTATATTGAAATCTCAGGAGAAGAACTCCTAGAACTAGTGAGTTCAGCAAAGTCATAAGACACAAGCTAAACATACAAACAATAATAATTTCTGTATTCTAGAACACATGAACACAAATTAAAAATGCACTATCAGTTACAATGATTTCCCCCAAACTGAAATATTCAGGTGTGTATCTAACAAAAAGATGTACAGAACTTGCATTCTGAAAACTACATAATGCTGGTGAAAGAAATTTTTAAAAAAATCTAAATTAATGGATATATATACCATGTTTGTGGAATGGAAGACTCAATCCAATTAAGATGTCAATTCTCTCCAAACCAATACACAGGTTCAATCCAATTTCTATCAAAATCCAAGCAAGACTTTCTGTCAATATAGGGAAGTTTATTTCAAAATTCATATGGAAAGGCAAAGGAATTAAAATGGCTAAAAATAATTATGAAAACTTTTAGGAAATAAAAAAGAGAAAATCTCTGGAATCTAAGTCTAGGAAAGGAATTCTCAGGCTCCATCAAAGAAAAGCAGATAAATTGGGCTTCATCAAAACAAAAAATCTCATTCAGCAAAGCTCTTTTATAAGGATGAAATCTCAAGCTAAAGAAATACTAGCAATTAAATATAAACTCTCAAAACTCAAGAGTAAAGCAGAAATACAATCAGAAAATGGGCACAGTATGAACAAAAAAGCATTGAAGGGATATAGATAGCAAATGAACACATGGAAAGATGGTCAATATCACTAGCCATTAGGAAAATGCAAGTTAAAATCAAAACTATGTATCACTACATACTTATTAGAATAGCTAAAATAAAAAATGATGACAATGACAAATGCTGGTGAGAATGCAGACAAACTGGGCCACTCATACACTAGTGACAAGAATGTAAAGTGGTAAAGCCACATGACAAACAATATGACAGACTCTCAAGAAACTAAACATGTAACTACAGTGGGCCCTTAAATAACACAGGTTTGAATTATACAGGTCCACCTTTAAGCAGATTTTTCTCAATAAAAACATACTATACAATCCATGGTTGGCTGAATCCACGGATATATAGCCATGGATACAGAGGGCCAACTGTTAAGTCATACAGATTTTTAACTGCATGGAAGGGAGGGGGATGTCAGTACCCCTAACCCCAAAGTTGTTCACTTGTCAACTGTATTATATAACCCAACTGTACTCTTGGACATTTATCCCAGAGAAACGTGAAAACTTGTGTTCACATAAAAATCTGTGCACAAATGTATAAAGCAACTTTATTCATAATACCCAAAACTATAAACAACACAAATGCCCTTAAATGGATGAATGGTTAAAGCACCTGCAGTATATTCATACCACAGACCACCACCCTGGAATGAAAACAAACAAACAATACATACAACAATCTAGATAATCTCCAGAAAAATATGCTCAGTAACAAAACCCAACTGATAATTTATATAAACCATTCGCAGTATATTCATACCACAGACCACCACCCTGGAATGAAAACAAACAAACAATACATACAACAATCTAGATAATCTCCAGAAAAATATGCTCAGTAACAAAACCCAACTGATAATTTATATAAACCATTCTTGACAGGACAAAATGTTATCACAGAAATGGCACACAGATGAGTGGCTGTCGGGAGTTGAGGAACAGGAAGAAGAAAGGAAGTGGATGCAGATATAAAAAGGCAACATGAGGACCTTCTTCTGTGACTGCACTGGTGTCAATAGCTAATAAAACACCTTGATTTTAGCTTAAGCACCATATCATTTAATTCTAAAAATGGAAGCAAACAGGTTTCTTGAAGAAAAAAAAAAAAAAGACCGATAAGCACAAATGATTCCTCTACCTTTTACCCCAAGGGGCCATTTTTACATCCACAAGCTTGAAAACCACCTGAGTGTCCCTTGTGCCTCTCCTAACCACACCCCAAGCTGTGTGATCCCTCCAATGCTGGCAGATGCCAGAAAGTACGAGAAAACCCCTAGATATTTCCCTCAGTTTTATTACTGAGGAATTTATATAGATGTAAATGAAGATTAAAAACTACTATATACTACACTGAGGAGTGTCAAAGAATGCTCAAACTACCACAGAACTGCACTCATCTCACCCGCTAGCAAAGTAATGCTCAAAATTCTCCAAGCCAGGCTTCAATAGTATGTGAACTGTGAACCTCCAGATGTTAAAGCTGGTTTTAGAAAAGGCAGAGGAAACAGTTCAAATTGCCAACATCAGTGGAACATGGAAAAAGCAAGAGAGTTACAGAAAAACATCTACTTCTGCTTTATTGACTATGCCAAAGCCTTTGACTGTGTGAATCACAACAAACTGTGGAATATTCTTAAAGAGATGGGAATACCAGACCACCTGACCTGTCAAGAAGCAACAGTTGGAACTGGACATGGAACAGACTGATTCCAAACAGGAAAAGGAGTGCATCAAGGCTGTATATTGTCACCCTGCTCATTTAACTTATATGCAGAGTACATCACGAAAAATGCTGGACTGGATGAAGCACAAGCTGGAATCAAAACTGCTTGGAGAAATATCAATAACCTCAAATATGTAGATGACACTACCCTTATGGCAGAAAGAAAAGAACTAAAGAGCTTCTTAATGAAAGTGAAAGAGGAGAGTGAAAAAGTTGGCTTAAAGCTCAATATTCAGGAAACTAAGATCATGGTATCTGGTCCCATCACTTCACGGCAAATAGATGGGGGGAAACAGAGGAAACAGTGACACTATTTTTTTGGGCTCCAAAATCACTGCAGATGGTGACTACAGCCATGAAATTCAAAGACACTTGCTCCTTAGAAGCTATGATCAACCTAGATAGCATATTAAAAAGCAGACACATTCCTTTGCCAACAAAGGTCCGTCTAGTCAAGGCTATGGTTTTTCCAGTAGTCGTGTATGGATGTGAGAGTTGGACTATAAAGAAAGCTGAGCACCAAAGAATGGATGCTTTTGAGCTATGGTGTTGGAGAAGACTCTTGAGAGTCCCTTGGACTGCAAGGAGATCCAACCAGTCCACCCTAAAGGAACTCAGTCATGAATATTCATTGGAAGGACTGATGCTGAAGCTGAAACTCCAACACTTTTGCCACCTGATGTGAAAAACTAACTCTTCACCTGATGTGAAAAAAGACCCTGAGGCTGAGAAAGACTGAAGGTAGGAGGAGAAGGGGACGAAAGAAGATGAGATGGTTGGATGGCATCACTGACTCAATTGTCAAGAGTTTGAGTAAACTCAGGGAGTTGGTGATGGACAGGGAAGCCTGGCGTGCTGCAGTCCATGGAGTTGCGAAGAGTCAGACATGACTGAGTGACTGAACTGAACTGAACATTGAGGAGGGCATGGCAACTCACTCTAGTATTATTTCCTGGAAAATCCTATGGACAGAGGAGCCTAACAGGTTCCAGTACCTGTGGTTGCAAAAATCGGACACAACAGAAGAGACTTAACATGCATGCACATTTTCTACATTTAACTCACCAGGTTCATTAAATTCAGATCTGAATTTTTTCCGACCTTGAATCTGAGATTTTTTCTTCTGTTTGGCTTCTTTTTCCTTTTCATCATCACTGAAATCCAAGGCCTTACACAAAAAAATAGACAGATTTATGTCATATGCATTTACCAATTCAATAGTACATTATCAGAGGTAAAGAGAATAAAGCACTTTAAGTGACCCTGAAAGTTAATACATGTACACATGACACAAATCAGAAGGCATAACCCCGTGGCAATGTGGATGCTAAAACAGGACTGCTTCTGACTAATAATCCTTTAAGTGGGCATTCCTTGACTCACACAGCTTCAGCAAAATCACAAATTAACACAGATCATGAACCTTTAGCACTGCTTTAGAACATCTACAACGACCAAAGTTAAATCTATAAATATCAAGAATTTACAGAACTGAGAAACTTCATTAGAACTTCTGAGTGCATTGAAAAACTCGTATAATTGTATTTTTATTTTATAAAATAAAAATACAAAAGTATAAATTCATGCTAGTTTTAAGAATGTATATACTCATTGATCTAATTTTTATGTTTTAATAAAGACCATATATATCAAGCCACTTTGAAATGTAAAATATTATTGCTGACAAGAAAAAGAACACTCTTTTTAGGAAGGTGAGTATATTGTAAAAAATGGAGAAGTAGGTACACTGTAATTGTTTCCTACCTTCAAAAGAAAAGCAGCTTATTAAAAGTACCATCAATAAATGTCTTCACATCCCATGTGGTGAATTTACTAAACTAAAAAACAATTATTTTAAATGATAATTTTGCCTTGACCAGGTACCAACAAAATTGATAACAACAGGACACTATAAGGAAAATGAAAATCTGATAATAATTAAAATATGAGTGAAAGTATTTTTTTCTGAAATGACCACAAACTAATTGTGAGGTATAAAAGGCATCTGAGGGAGCGGAGAGCACGCAGGCTGGCAGAAAGCAGTGTGACTAGTGAGCAGTTTCGAGGACATCCTTCAGGTCAAGAATGAGGGATGTATGAGACTGAGTCCTGTCTTCCTTTCTCAAATACTGTGTGAAAAGACACTTACCTCTGGTGGTGGTTCTTGATCATTCTTCCATGATGCATCTGATCCCCTATCCCTAGGGGAACAAACAAAGTTCAAAGTTCAAACAAAGGGTCAAAGTACTTAGTAAGATTCTGTTAAGTGCTTATAACCTAATAGCATAGAAAATAAAAAAGCAAAAGACCTAAGCTCAATCTTAATTCGCAATATATAAGACAATAAGAGAAAAGAATAAAGGCTCATTTCTGTGTTCTTTATTTAAGACGATGTGGGAAGAACACACCAATATGTTAGGAGTAGAGATCAGAATGAGAAGCCGACCCCACGCTGTGCGGGGCAAAGTGGTTCTACAGTTCTTCAGCAGCTCCAGGTGCTCTGATTCTCACTGATACTGTCATAATACCTGAGCTCAGCTCATAAACCTCCTTCAGTAAATACCTATCCAAGACCACAGTCAGTCATTTCAGGTGCCAAGGATACAAAAAGGGAATACGAGGCATTTCCTTGTGTAAGACTTTACAGGTTCAACAACAGAGATCACAACATGAAATGCTTCTTCCTTGATTCACCCGAGAATTATCAATGATCTTCCATGAGTAAGCAAGGCTTGCTCCAAGAGTGACTCTCAGAGCAGAGGGTGAGACAAAGGCATCTAGAGTTTGAGGAGGAGCTGTGAAGATGCTATAGGACACTAAGTCTTTTTGCGGAAAAGTTTTATACTCTATGACCAACAAAAGCATGTAGATCTATTATGACTATAATTTCTGACAGCTCATTTTTAATTGTATCTGTTTGATCCTGATTGCACAGTTTGACAATATTTGTTATTCAATTACATTAAAATATTACAAAGTATTAGGAGTAGATGTTGTCCTCATTACTTGACACCAAATCTCAAAAATAAACTCCCAGGAATTAATTAATGCATTAATCCATTAAAATCAATTTACAGATGTCTGTGGGCTCGCACAACATGAAATCTTTTTTTCTGAGTCTGCTCTACTGTTTTAATTTGGAATTCTGTTATACGTAAAGCATTATCAATGACTTTTCCCATTTTTAGTTATTATCTTCTACTCATGCATTTATCATAGCTCCAGGGTTCCTTTTAGCATGGATGCCATCTCAACAGCCTAGACTGACCTTAGAATGAAATCATCTAAAGACAGAAATGGGAAAAGTTCCCTAATGGGGGCATTACCACAGAAAATCAAAAACTATTACACAAAAGAACAAGCAACATTTCCAACAGCACTGTTAACAAGAGTAAGTTCATGGGAAGCTAAGATTAAAATAACTCAACTAAAAGCAGGTAAGCTGGAGAGAAGTTCAACTTCTCCATCTCAAAAGCAAAGGAGTTCCCTTGATCAACAGAAAAAATGCAGTCTAGAACAGAACAGGCTTCATCAGGTGGGGCTTCTGCAGAGTGGGCTCAATTTCCTGATTCTTTCTTATTCTTTCTTTGCAAAAAAAGACAAAAATTCTTGTTCTTGCAAATCAGAACAAAGACAGCTTCTACATCCATCTAAAAACATCTTCAGAAAAATCTCTTCAATCTATCTATTTTAAGCTAAAATATTTTACCTGTTAAAAGCTAATATATGGAATATCCAAAGCAACAACTTAATATTCAAACAGAACGAAATGCTAAATATTTAAGGCATGATTTTAAAGCATACTAAAATTTTTATAACTTTGCTATATTTAACTCACCTTTCATGTTAACGGTTATTTAGAAAAATTAACCTTACACAGCCTGAAGAACAACTTAAGTTCCTGTAGGTACTTCTGTGTTTTCTTAAAGATGAGTTTAACAAATTATCAGGAACAAAATGTTCATCTCATTTCAGAGATTTCCAAATGCTTCACCTGTATTTCAAGTTTCCAACTGAAAGACAGCTAGATTTCAAAGGGACTTTTGTGTCAAACTGAGTACAAAATCTTTTCAGATTTAAGATCTCTTCCCCAATCCTTTGCAGTATTTTCCTCCACTCCTAACTGGGCAACATTTTATTGGTTCATATTTACTACATCTTTCCAAAGCATTCAATTTACATTTACAGAAAGTCATTCTACTTTAATTCATATGCCATTGGTCTGTGCAAAAATTAATTATGTAATTATAACAAGTCTGATATAAATAGCTCTACAGCTAACACCTGGCGGCAAAATTTATACCTGACAAATATACAGTTCGTCAGTGGAAACAAGAAATATCACCAGATACACACCACAGGATATCATACAGCACATTTACAGATAGAATAGAGACCACTGGTTTGCTGGTTAAGTCAACTCTGTTAATCGCAGCTTGATACACAACACATAAATATGTTCTTCTATAAATGTACAATTTATAAGCAACCTAAAATTTACTCATTTTCTTTTTTCAAGAATTATAAAGTTGCATTAAATGGTGAAGCTTATGAATGCAATCCAAAGAAATCTTTCTTTAAAATGGTAAAGTTGCAGCACATATATGCAGGAAAGTATATAATGGAAAAGATAATGAGTTAAAATTCAGAAAATGTATATGGCCCAAATGTGCTCTTACCAGTTGCTCATGCCATTTTGGGCAAAAAATACAAATGATCTCTACCTTGTAAAACCTGATAACAACATTAGCTTTCAGAGATGTTACCAGTAAGACAAATGAGCTCTTTGGAAGACAGATACCATCTTAACTGCAAGAAACTACATCACTACTCCTAAAACACAAACGCTAGATAAGCAAAGAAGTAACATGGCAATAAAGTACTTACTGTTTAAGCTTCTCTGTGAATATATACTGGGTGAAGTCTTTCATTGATGGAGCAAAATACATAGTGTCTTTTATCTTAATACCTTTATTTTCAATATGCTCTGAAGAATTAAACCGTAATACATAAAATGGATGTGCAACAGGTCCAAATATCTCAAATATCTATAAAAGAGAAGAAACAAAGTTCTCCTTTGACAGTAAAATAAGGACTTCAAAAGTTAGTATTATTGGGACTTCCCTGGCAGGCCAGTGGTTAAGCCTTCACCTTCCAATGCAGAGGGTGCAAGTTGAATCCCTGCTTGGGAAGTTAAGATCCCACAAGCCTCTTGACCAAAACATAAAACAGAAGCCAATACTGTGTGTGTGTGATTTTTCAGATTCCAGTCATCTGTCAGTGGATAGTGGCTTCCACCTCTTGGCCACTATAAATAGTGCTGCTATGAACTCTGGCGTACATGTACCTTTGCAAATTATAGTTTTCTCTGGATATACACCCAGAAATAAGACTGCCGGATCATACACTAACTCTACAGATTTTTAAGGAACCTCCGTACCACTGTCCATAGTGGCTGCACCAATTTACATTTCCACCAACAGCGCAAGAGAGATCCGTTTACTCCACACCCTCTCCACCTTTAATTATCTACAGACTTTCTAGTGATAGCCATTCTGACTGGTATGAGGTAATACCTCATTATAGTTTTTTTATTTATTTATTTATTTATTTTAATTGGAGGCTAATTACTTTACAATACTGTGGTGGTTTCTGCCATACAGTCACATGAATCAGCCATGGGTGTACATGTGTTCCCCATCCTGAATCCCCCTCCCACCTGCCTCTCCATCCCATTCCTCAGGGTCATCCCAGTGCACCAGCCCCGAGCATCCTGTCTCATGCATCGAACCTGGACTGGCGATCTGTTTCACATATGACAATATACATGTTTCAATGCTATTCTTCAAATCATCCCACTCTTGCCTTCTCCCAGAGTCCAAAAGTCTGTTCTTTACATCTGTATCTCTTTGTTGTCTCACATATAGGGTCATCATTACCATCTTTCTAAATTCCATATATATGCGTTATAATATACTGTATTGGTGTTTTTCTTTCTGACTTACTTTGCTCTGTATAAGAGGTTCCAGTTTCATCCCTCATTAAAACTGATTCAAATGCATTCTTTTTGAAAACTAAGTAATATTCCATTGTGTATATGTTGACCTGAGTTTCTCCAATAATTAGAGATATTGAGCATCTTTTCATGTGCCTATTAGCCATCTGTTGCCTCTTTCATTGTAAACTAATCGACCATAAGTGCATGAGCTTATTTTCCGGCTTTCTATCCTGTTCCACTGATCTATTACTCCCTTTTAAAGCCTAACGTTTCTTTTAGTTTTTTTCATGTTAAATATATTTTTCATAATATATAATTTCTGTGGCTATTTAACATTCCTTTATAGATCAAGCACAATTTAACATATCTTATATTGTAGAATACTGACACAAGCTCCCAATTTGTTCAGAAATGATGCCATAATAAACACCTTTATCTGTAAATCTCTGTACTTCAGAATTCCTGAAAACTAGTTTGTAAGAGATGGAACCATCAAAGCCAAGAGTATGATTACTACTAAAACTCTTGATGCAAATTACTAAATAATGTTCCAAATAGCAATTTAAATCAACTCCATTGAAAGTACCTATTTTATTACATCCTCAGTTGCTGACTGAATGAAAAGTCCTCATTTGTTAAAAAGTAAAACAAAAAACAAAACAACAAATGCTTGAACAAATGCTCAAAATTAAATGCAGAGAAAATGATCAAGAAATCCAACTTATAGGTGGCATAAGTTGGTAATGTTTTAAAAATTCCCTAATATAAGAATTCAACATTAAAAATAGAATTCATTCATTAATTATCAATAGGAACTAACCTTTACTAGGATTAAGGTGCAAAAGGCAGAATTTCAAATCTGAACTTGCCCTCCTTTAAATCAGTGGGAAACAAGGAAGGAGATGGGAGGGGGGGCAAAAAAAATCAGACCACCTGTGTTATAAACTGCATTTTGCTCTTTTTTAGCTATTGTGATTTCTGAATAAATGAGGGTAATTCTATTTCCTTAGAGTTTCAGTGAATTTAAAAAGACACAGAGGATATTTGACACTGCAGCTGATTATTACTGTTACTGAAAAGGAGAGGGAAAAGGAAGGATGTCATAAATAAAAGGAATCATGGAAATAATCAGTTTTAATTCAGTCAGAAAAGCAGGAAGTGCGTTTCCCTAGTCTCTTCTCCCTGGTCTCCCCAAGAGGGACAGCAGCATCCCTGTGCTCAAGAGCTCCCTCCCCAGCCATCTCCTCTCACCTCCACTCCTCTCTCTCAATAGCTTCCCAGGCTAAGCCCCGAGACTCTCTCTAGCCCCTTACAAAGGTACCAGCAGTGAATAGTTTATTCTGTATTTTAGTACTTCTTCCTCTGAACCAAAAGTACTGAGACCCATACTTGAAACAAAAGTATTAAGCCTAAGTCTTTGAAAGGGAGAAAAGTCAACACCACCCTTCAGGTATTAAAGCCTTTCTTCTCTTCACAAACTTTTTCAAAGATTGCCAAAAAGCATTAGCTCTAGACTCCAATTAATTCTGTCACTGACTGCTTTGCAATTCTAAGAGACTCATTTATTTTGGTACATTTAGTCTGTCAACCTAAAAAGTAGGCAGTGCAGGGTAACAACCCTCATAAAAGCCGGATCCCTTTCTAATCTGTGTCAGAATGGAACAGCAGGAAAAGGCTCAAAAAGGGAAAATTATGTGAGTTGTCCTAATAATATAATTCAAAATAAATGATTTTTTCTGATTAAACACAAATTAATTCTGTTTCTTAAAATAAAAAATATGTCAACTGTCACTTATCTAGGAAAAACTAAACCCCAAAAAGTTTTCTCCAGAGAAAACATGTGGTTTCTCAATCGTCTGTTATCAACTCAATGCTTATTTACTTAGCCCATATAATCTACAAAGGACTCTAACTAAACACAGTGGAATATCCCAAGGTGAATAAAACTCTGTCCCTGCTGCCAGAAAGAGAATAGTTGGTTGATATATATATTCTTCATCTTGGAAGATTTTATCTTCCTATGATCACTCAAAATTATGTATTTGTTGAGTAAAATGCAGACATGCAGCATGCAGGATTGTTCCCTGCATGTAAGGATGTTAAAAGGGACCTAATCTTATGATGGTACTAAAGTACATATTCACAATTCCACAGAAAGTGCTTATAGTGACACTTTACTGGTATCACCGAAAACTTTTTCCATTTGAAAGATTCCACTCTCAGCTTCCACGTGAGGAAGTCAAAGTCTAAAAAGTTTCAATAGCCACTATACAAAGGGCCACACAAAGCAAAAAGGTTTATTAACTACTATGCATTGGAAAGCCTCCTGCAGCCAATTGAGTATCTGGAAGAACTGTGTCTTATTCAAAACACAGACACACTGCCTGACAAAGAACCTGACAAATGTCAGGAAAAAAATTCTGTACAACAGCAACAACAAATTAAACCAATTTACAGACAGACACAAATTACTGAAGAAAATCAGGAATGTACTAAAATTTGAGAGCTCTCGATTGCTCACATACTGAAACTAATAAACTTAAGATACCAAACTCAGAAAATGCAATCAACAAAGAAACAGGGTAATTAGTAGAATTTGAGTTTTGTTTTACAAACCTTTCCTGCTGCCTGTCGATCAGTTTTAAAAATTACAGTCTCCTCATTAACTGGAGGTACGTTAGTCATAGATTCAATTATTACTGAAAATGAAACAAAATAGATTATTTCAAGATTTAATCAGAAGATAATGCAGAATTCAAATCAGTATTTAGGCTTTAATTCCCACATAATTTAAAATGAAATTTAAGGTGGGAAAATATACCTTGGTAACTATTTCTGCTGGATAAACAAGTAGCATAAGGAAATATATTCTACATTATTTTCTTTTATATGAAAGCTACAATTCTGGGAAAAAAGATTAAAGTACAAAATCTCATGGAAAGTTGGAATTACCCATTAGTCAAAAGTCAACAAAGTCAAGCTGTGTACATTTTCTCAAGCAATTTTTATCCAAAAAATAATAATCACATTTAGTCACATAACTCCTGTTTTAGAAGAAATTAGTCATCTTTCTCACCCTAGAAATCCTTTTCTGCAAACTACTGATTACATACCGATATACGAAAAAGTTAAAGACTTCACAAAAACATTTTCCTCTGAACAGATGAAAAAAGAATGATAGAGCTCTCAGTAATGTGGCTCCTGGGTGCACTGGGACAACCCTGAGGGATGGGATGGAGGGAGGTGGGGGGGGTTCAGGATGGGGGATACATGTACACCCATGGCTGATTCATGTCAATGCATGGCAAAAACCACTACAATATTGTAATTAGTCTCCAATTAAAATAATAAATAAATAAAAAGACAAAAAGCATTATCACTCCAGTCTAGCACATTCTCCTGTTCTTCTAAGTACCACAAATGTCAAACTAACAATCTACAACAGCAAAACGAAAACAAACACACATATACATTCACACAGACACACAGGATTCTTAGAAAACTAAAGCAACAAACAAAACTACTCAGTCACATTACAAAGATAATGCCATCTCCACTTGGGAAATGAAGTATCAGTTCATTATTAAAATCCATTCAAGGAGTTTCAATTGTATCCAATTAATTTCAAGAGTTAGTACTTCTAAGTTTGAACATGCACTAAGGAATGGGCAACAAGTTTTGAATTGGATGCCTCTCGAATAAAGATGACAAAGATTGATAATAATACTGAATAATGACTGAATTTCCCAGGGCCAAATTACATGAAAATTAAAAGCTACCTAATTCAAAACCCTCACATTTGATAGAAAGGTAAGAGTGCCTGAAGAACTATGGACGGAGGTTCTTGACATTGCACAGGACACAAAGATCAAGACCAACCACCCCCCTCCACCCCCCACCCCCCCACCCCCCGCCAAAAATTGCAAAAAGGCAAAATGGTTGTCTGAGGAGTACTTACAAATAGCTGAGAAAAGAAAAGATGCAAAAGGTGAAGGAGAAAAGGAAAGATATACCCATTTGAATGCAGAGTTCCAAAGAATAGCAAGGAGAGATAAGAAAGCCTTTCTCAGTGATCAATGCAAAGAAATAGAGGAAAACAATAAAGTGGGAAAGGCTAGAGATTTCTTGAAGTAAACTGGAGATACCAAGGGAACATTTCATGCAAAGATGGGACACAATAAAGGACAGAAATGATATGGACCTAACAGAAGCAGAAGATATAAAGAAGAAGTGGCAAGAATACAAAGAATTCTAAAAAAAGTTCTTCATGACCCAGATAGAAGCCAAGTGGGCCTTAGGAAGCATCACCATGAACAAAGCTAGTGGAGGTGATTTCAATAGTTGAGCTATTTCAAATCCTGAAAGATGATGCTGTGAAAGTGCTGCACTCAATATGCCAGCAAATTTGGAAAACTCAGCACTGGCCACAGGACTGGAAAAGGTAAGTTTTCATTCCAATCCAAAAGGAAGGAAATGCCAAAGAATATTCACACTACCACACTCATCTCACATGCTAGCAAAGTAATGCTCAAAAGTCCCCAAGCCAGGCTTCAACAGTACGTGAAATGTGAAATTCCAGATGTTCAAGCAGGATTTAGAAAAGGCAGAGGAATCAGAGATCAAATTGGCAACATCCACTGGATCATGAAAAAGCAAGAGAACTGCAGAAAAACATCTTCTTCTGCTTTATTGACTACATAAAAGTCTTTGACTATGTGGATTACAACAAACTGTGGAAAATTCTTAAAGAGATGGGAATATCAGACCACCTAAACTGTCTTCTGAGAAATTTGTATGCAGGTCAAGAAGCAACAGTTAGAACTGGACATGCAACAACAGACAGGTTCCAAATCAGAAAAGAGTACATACATCAAGGCTATATATTGCCACCATGGTTATTTAACTTACATGCAGAGTACACCATGAGAAATGCTGGGCTGGATGAAGCACAAGCTGGAATCAAGATTGCCGGGAGAAATATCAATAACCTTGGATAGGCAGATGACACCACCCTTATGACAGAAAGTAAAGAAGAACTAAAGAGCCTCTTGATGAAAGTGAAAGAGGAGAGTGAAAAAGTTGGCTTAGATCTCAACATTCAGAAAACTAAGATCATGGCATCTGGTCCCATCACTTCATGGGAAATAAATGGGGAAACAATGGAAACAGAGGCAGACTTTATTTTGGGGGGCTCCAAATCACTGTAGATGGTGACTGCAGCCATGAAATTAAAAGACGCTTACTCCTTGGAAGAAAAGTTATGACCAACTTAGACAGCATATTAAAAAGCAGAGACATTACTTTGCCAACAAAGGTCCACCTAGTCAAAGCTATGGCTTTTCCAGTAGTCATGTATGGATTCGAGATCTGGACTATAAAGAAAGCTGAGTGCTGAAGAATTGATGGTTTTGAACTATGGTGTTGGAGAAGACTCTTGAGAGTCCCTTGGACTGCAACGAGATCCAACCAGTCCATCCTGAAGGAGGTCAGTCCTGGGTGTTCATTGGAAGGACTGATGCTGAAGCTGAAACTCCAATACTTTGGCCACCTGATGGGAAGAACTGACTCAATGGAAAAGACCCTGATGCTGGGAAAGATTGAAGGCAGGAGAAGAGGACGACAAGAGGATGGCATCACCGACTCAACTGCCATGAGTCTGAGTAAGCTCCAGCGGTTGGTGATGGACAGGGAAGCCTAGCATGCTGCAGTCCATGGGGTCACAAAGAGTCGGACATGACTGAGCGACTGTGAACTGAAGAAAAGAGTACATAAGAGATTTTAACATGATCGTATGGTCAAACCCACACAGAACTATCACCTCAACCTAGCTGACTGATATTTAATGTTATTTTCCTTTTTGTAAAAGGTCCAAATAATGTTACATGTTTTACGTTTTCAAAACAGAGTGTGTAACAAGCATGTTCTATAGCAGCACGTGCTCTCTCTGATTCACTCATCTCTATTCCCACCAGGTTGAGAATTTTGTTAGTCTATTAGGATGCATTAGGCAAAATAGTATCTTTAAAAAGCATTATTTCCTATGTATCACATAATTTACTTTTCTTTCCCATGAGAATAACCATTCTGACCTAAATTTTTTCTATACACATCAAGTCCAATAAACAGTTGACTCACACTATGTAATCAAGAAATTACCTTTCTGATTTATTTTTGCATATTATTAAATACCATAAGATAGTAAATGTAATAATTCAAGAATCATGTAAAGAATTTTAGTAATTACGATTTTGATTAAAAAGTTTCATTTAATTGGAATTTTCATTAATAAATTGCCAAATTACAAGTAAGAATTATTTTTTAAAATAGTGATACAGACAATTTAAAAAAATATAAAAAGAACAGTTTGAGAAGGATAGGTGTTAACTCTTCTCTCAATGTTTGATAAAATTCACCTGTGAAGCTGTCATGTCCTTAACTTTTGTTTGTTGGAAGATTTTTAATCATGGTTTCAATGACCCTGCAATTCCACTCCTGGGCACATATCCAGAGAAAAACATGGCCCCAAAAGATGCATGCATCCCAATGTTCACTGCAGCGCTGTTTACAAAAGCCAAGACATGGAAGCAACCTAAATGTTCATTCACAGAGGAATGGATAAAGAAGATGTGATACATATATTCAATGGAATATTACTCAACCATTAAAAAGAATGAAATAATGTCATTTGCAGCAACTTGGATGGACCCAGAGAATGTCATACTGAGTGAAGTCAGAGAAGGAGAATTATCATATGACATCCCTTATATGCGGAGTTTAAAAAGAAATGATACAAATGAACCTACTTATAAAACAGAAAGAGATTTACAGACTTAGAAAACGAACTTATGATTGCCTGGTGAGAAGGGATAGTTAGGAACTTCGGGAAGGTCATGTACAAACTGCTGTATTTAAAATGGACAACGAACAAAGATCTGCTGTAGAGCACATAAGACTCTGCTCACTGTGATGTGGCAGCTTGGATGGGAGTGGGGTTTGGGGGAGAAAGCATACAGGTGCATGAATGGCTGAGTCCCTTCCCTGTTCACCTGAAAGTACTAGAACACTGTTAACTGGCTATACCCCAGTACAAAATGCTTTTGGTGCTAAAAAAAAATAATAAAAAAAATTTTTTTAAAGATCAAAAGCTAAACTTTCATTTCTATCACTGATTGATTATATGACAGATCATAGGAGCAAGTGACTCAAATTCTTCTTTGTCCCTTAAGTCATAAACTAAGGACTGGTGGACCATTTAGGCCTTTTTCTCAGTTCAAAAATCCTATGACTTTGTCAACTTGGAGTCCTATTTTTTGGTGTCACTTACTAGAGTTAATAGTAACAACATTAATTTCAAAGTCTCTCCTGTACTGACATCATATCTTGGGGCTAAAAGAAAGCTATAAAATTTAGTTCCCATATACTCCAATGGGTTCATATTTCATGACATTAATGTCAGTGTTAAAACCATAGAACTTTCTAATTTACTTGTTTGTAAGATAAAATCAAAGGCAGTAGGCAGAGTAACTGCTCTCTACCCACAAAAAAAGATATCCACACACCCATATCCCTGAACCTGTAAATGCTATTTTGTAATAAAAAGAGAGACTTTGCTGATGTGAATAAGGCTAAGCACCTTGCAGTGCAAAATTACCCCGGTTAACAGTAACCGGGTAGACTCAATCTAAGGAGTCCTTAGAAGCAGAGAATCTTTCCAGTCTGTGGTGATTCATCAGAGGAAAATGTGACAATAGAGAAGGTCAGCGAGATGCTACATTATGGACTGTGAAAATGAAGGGAGGGGGCCATGAGCAAAGGAATGTGAGAGACCTCCAAATGCTGGAAAAGGTCAAGAAATGCATTCTCCCTCAGATCCTGCAGAGAGCAACTTGCCCCTGAAGGGCCCCTTGATTTTAGCCAGTGAGACCCATCACACTTCTGGCCCACAGTACTCTAAAGTAATAAATGTGTTGTTTTAAACCACTAAACCTGTAGTAACTTAACAGCAATAGAAAACACATGTATCATTCAAATAAATTTGAGAGAAATTTCTATGTCAGTAAAAGCACACTTTAAATTTTTAAAAAGACACTGTATTTATGTACTACTTGTGTAAGTAAAAGCTGAATTTATCTGTTCAAACCTAACAGCTATAAAATGAAGTATTATTACATATTTTGGAGAAAATTCCCTACACATAAGTCTTTGACTATTAGTATATGCTTGGATATAAATTATAATTTTATTAATAAAAATATATACATACCTAATTGTTCAATAATACTTGAAACCATCCCAAGAGGCTTTAATTCAATATCTTCAGGCAGAACAATAGTGAGTTCTTCAACAGAAGGTAGTTCCTGTAATATAAAAAAGCAGTAATCTTCCTCCAGCTTCAAGGACTTAACTTTTTTTTTTTTTAAAGGACGGTTTCCATGTAGTGTGCTACATCTATTTCTGAGATGTGACATTATTTATCATCTCTTGGATGTCATCCTTTCTAGTGTCTGAGCATTTCTCCCCCCTTCAACATCTCCCCACCTAAGTGATTCAAGAGATCTAGTATCTACACCCTAACACATAACACAGACCTAAATACCACTCTAGATTTTTCCAATCAACTTGAACAAGAGATCATCCTAAAAGAGATAATATAAAATAACTCCCAGAGATATTCCACTTGAAGAGAATTAATTCTATTGGTTCTGATTTCTCCACAGTAGAGTTCTCTGATCTGTCTTAATGTGATTAGTTAATTAATTTGACTATGATTAAACAATTTAACAGAGGAACAGCTAACTTTTCTAAGTCTGTGTGTGAAAAGAAGATGAATTTCTGGTCTCTTCAAGACAAAATACGTAATTCCTAGAAACAATGTAGTAAGTTTCAGCTCAAGAAGCTGTGAAGCTGTTGCCTGATTATCTTCTTCCCTGTCTAGGTTAAAACCAAATTTCTTTACACTCTGACCCAGGTGCTAACTGTTTGTCAGTTGCTACAGAAACTAGATATTGAAGTTGAAAGGATGCTGAAGAAAAATCTAAGAAAGCAGACCTTAGGTTTTAAATTAAATAAACAGAGCTTTCTGTTCACCTTTGTCAAATGATAACAACTGACTCTCCCTGTAAACTTTTTCCCTAAGAAGGGCTTAAGGAAAGTGCAAAGATCCCATTAATGGTATATTAGGGTTAAGTCTGGGAAAGAAAAGATGACTTTTGGAGAACTGTTAAAAAAGACAGGAAAACCTAAATCATACAGAGCATTTTAGATGAGCGTATCTCAGGTACTCATTTTCCTCTACAGGATTTCCAGTTAAGGTTTTTAACAAAAATCACCCAACTGGAACTGAAGCATAACTTTCTTCTGCGGATGCTGCTTTCTGATCAAGGACTAGTTATGAAGAGCAAGCACACAGGATCTCAACCAACTCAGCACAGAAGACTTACCTCTGTATGGTTACTCTGGCCTGTGTTGAAGGAAATGACTATATTTTACATATCAGAATCTTTCTGAGTACTTCTAGAGAAAGGACAACTACTTGTCATTTTATCATATTAAATATGGAAGCCTTTCCTAGGTAAGACCGTGGTATGAAAGTGCTCAAACAGGGTGTGTATCAGAATAGAGAAGGGAGTTCAGTTGTTAGAACAAATTGGTAAATGTGACAGGACAATCTTGTTTAAGAAGTTCCAAGCTAAGCAGAAACCCCACACCCTGTTAAATATGCAACTAGAGAACTGTATAATACTGAAGGATGACACCGGTCTCACATGGGCTCTGGGAATGGCACCTCTTATGAGTGGTGATTGGCATTTTCTAATGTAGCAGCTCTGGCTGCAGCAGACCTGGGAGGTCCAGTGTGCGGCATTAAGTCCTCCTGAAGGAGGCTGCCATTAGCCCCAACACAGAGCCTCCGAGCAGACGACCCACAAACTAGAGACCAATTATACTAAGGAGTTCTCACACTATTCCAGAGTTCTTGCCCTGTTGCAAAAAGTTCTAGGTCCCACAACAGATTACCCAACCTGGGGATCTGGCAAAAGGACAGAGAACCCACAGAGAATTTGACTTTGAAGGCCAGTGGGATTTGGTTATAGAATTAACACAGTACAGGGGAAACAGACTCTTGAAAAGCTCAAACAAAACCTTGTGCACACCAGGACCCAGGAGAAAGGAACAGTGACCCCAAAAGAGACAGAACCAGACTTGCCTGAGAGTGCCCAGGAGTCTCTGGCAGACATGGGTTTGACAGTGACCTGCCACAGGGTAAAGGGCACAGAATACAACAGTCCTGGGAGTCCAGGCGTGCTGACAGAGGTCCTTTTGAAGGATGTCACCATTACTGCCATTACCCCTACCATACAGGAAGGGACTCAGCCCCACCCATTTGCAGAAAATTGGATTAAAGATTTAGGAAGCATGGCCCATCCCATCAGAGCAAGACCCAGTTTGCCACACAGAAAGTCCCTCCCATCAGGAAGCTTCCACAAGCCTCTAATCCTTCTCCATTAGAGAGCAGACAAATGAAAACCACAATCACAGAAAACTAACCAAATGGACCACATAGACCACAGCATTGTCTAACACAATACTAACTATGAGCCATGCCATGGAGGGCCACCAGACAGACGGGTCATGGTGGAGAGGTCTGACAAAATGTTGGTCCACTGGAGAAGGCAATGGGAAACCACTTCAGCATTCTTGCCTTGAGAAACCCACATGAACAGTATGGAAAGGCAAAAAGATGTGACACTGAAAGATGAACTCCCCAGGTCAGTAGGTGCCCAATATGCCACTGGAGAAGTGCAAAGAAAGAGCTCCAGAAGGAATGAGAGGTTGACCAAAGTGGAAAGGATGCCCAGTTGTGAATGTATCTGGTGGTGAAAGTAAAGTCAAATGGTGTAAAAGAACAATATGCATAAGAACCTGGAATGTTAGTTTCATGAATCAAGGTAAATCGGAAGAGGTCAAACAGAAGATGGCAAAAGTGAACATCAACATTTTAGGAATCAGTGAATTAAAATGGATGGGAATGGGCAAATTTAATTCAGACGACCATTTTATCTACTACTGTGGGCAAGAATCCCTTAGAAGAAATGGAGTAGCCATCATAGTCAAAAAAGAGAGTCCAAAATGCAGTATTTGGATGCAATCTCAGAAACGACAGAATGATTTCTATTTGTTCTCAAGGCAAACCATTCTACCTCACAGTAATCCAAGCTTATGTGCCAACCACTAATGACAAAGAAGTTAATGTTGAACAGTTTTTTCATGACCTACAAGACTTTCTAGAACAAACACCAAAAAAAGATGCCATTTCATCATAGGTGACTGGAATGCAAAAAGTAGGAAATCAAGAGATACCTGGAGTAGCAGGCAAGTTTGACCTTGGAGACTATAAAATGAAGCAGGACAAAGGCTAACAGTTTTGCCAAGAGAATGCACTGGTCTTAGCAAACAACCTCTTCCAACAACACAAGAGACGACTCTACACATGGACATCACCAGATGGTCAACACCGAAATCAGACTGATTATATTCTTTGCAGCCAAAGATGAAGAAGCTCTATACAGTCAGCAAAAACAAGACCAGGAGCTGACTATGGCTCAGATCAAGAACACCTTATTGCAAAATTCAGACTTAAATTGACGGATGTAAGGAAAACCACAAAGCCATTCAGGTATGACATAAATCAAATCCGTTACAATTATACAGTGGAATAGATTCAAGGGATTAGATCTGATAGAGTGCCTGATGAACTATGGATGCAGGTTCATAACAATGTACAGGAGGTGGTGATCAAAACCATCTCCAAGAAGAAGAAATGCAAAAAGGCAAAATGGTTGTCTTAGGAGGCCTTACAAATAGCTGAGAAAAGAAGACAAGCAAAAGGCAGAGGAGAAAAGGAAAGATAAATCCATCTGAATGCAAAGTTCCAAAGACTAGCAAGCAGAGATAAGAAAGCCTTCCTAACTGATCAATATGAAGAAACAAAGGAAATAACAGAATGGGAAAGAATACCAAAGGAACATTTCATGCAAAGATGGGCAAATAAAGAACAGAAACTATATGGACCTAACAGAAGCAGAAGATATTAAGAAGAGGTGGCAAGAATACATAGATGAGCTCTACAAAAAAGATCTTCATGACCCATATAAGCACAAAGGTGTGATCACTCACCTAGAACCAAACACTCTGGAGTGCCAGGTCACGTGGGCCTTAGGAAGCATCACTATGAACAAAGCCAGTAGAGGTGATGCAATTTCAGTTGACCTATTTCAAATAGATGATGCTGCTGTTAAAAGTGCTGCACTCACTATGCCAGCAAATTTGGAAAACTCAGCAGTGGTCACAGGACTGGAAACGGTAAGTTTTCATTCCAATCCCAAAGAAAGGGATTACCAGAGAACAGGCAATACCTATTTTGGCAATACCAAAGGCAATACCAAAGAATCCTCAAGCTACTGCACAACTGCACTCACTCCACACGCTAGCAAAGTAATGCTCAAAATTCTCCAAGCTAGGCAACAACAGTACATGCACTGAGAACTTCCAGAGTTCAAGCTGATTTTAGAAAAGGCAGAGGAACCAGAGATCAACTGCTAAAATCACAGAAAAAGCAAGAGAGTTCCAGAAAAACATCTATTTCTGCTTCATTGACTATGCTAAAGCCTTTGACTCTGTGGAACACAACAAACTGCGGAAAATTCTTAAAGAGATGGGAATACAAGACCACCTTACTTGCCTCCTGAGAAACATGTATACAGGTCAAGAAACAACAGTTAGAACCGAACACGGAACAACAGATTAATTCCAAATTGGGAAAGAAGTACATCAAGGCTGTATACTGTCACTCTGCTTATTTAACTTATATGCAGAGTGCATCATGTGAAATGCCAGGCTGGATGAAGAAGCACAAGTTGGAATCAAGACTGATAGAAGAAATATCAATAACCTCAGATATGCAGATGACACCACCCTGATGGCAGAAAGGTAAGAACTAAAGGGCCTCCTGATGAAAGTGAAAGAGGAGAGTGAAAAAGCTGGCTTAAAACTCAACACTCAAAAAACTAAGATCATGGCATCTGGTCCCATCATTTCATGGTAAATAGATGGGGCAACAATGGAAACAGTAAGAGACTTTATTTTCTTGGGCTCCCAAATCCCTGCAGATGGTAACTGCTGCCATGAAATTAAAAGACTGCTAGCTGTTTCACCAAATTACAGTAAGGTATAGAGCAAAATGTTTCATTACTTTTAGAATGTAATAAAGCCTGCTGGTTAAATAATGCCAGGAGTTTGTAAGTAGAGAAAAGGAAGAAAAGCAGAAATGCTGTTAGATCTTTTATGGGAACATCCAAAA